CCTTCTCCCATGTCCTGTTGTTATGTGTATGTCAGGGCACAAATGTCACAATGTATGCTGCCTTCTCCCATGTCATGTTGTTATGTGTATCTCAGGGCACTAATGTCACATTGTATGGTGCCTTCTCCCATGTCCTGTTGTTATGTGTATGTCAGGGCACAAATGTCACAATGTATGATGCCTTCTCCCATGTCATGTTGTTATGTGTATCTCAGGGCACTAATGTCACATTGTATGGTGCCTTCTCCCATGTTATGTTGTGTTACGTGTATGTCAGGGCACAAATGTTACTTTGTATGATGCCTTCTCCCATGTTATGTTGTGATGTGTCAGAGTGTAGCTCCCCCCACCACCACCCCTATGTTGTGGTGCACTGCTTATAAATGGTGTCCCCCACCCACCCTTTGTCATGTCAAGTATGGTCTATTTTAAACAATGTCTTTCCCCCAATTAAAGTGGCTAAAACTTGACTGACATTGCAAGCAGGTTACAAACTTCTTGGTAAAACCCCTGTCTCATAATTTGTCACCATTTGTAATAATTAAACAATGTATGTCTATCAGTCCTCCCCCCCCCCCCCCAAATCCTCTCCTATACTGACCTTAACCTTTATACTGAAATCTTCCCTACAGAGATACACTGTAGTCTGTGACCTTGATATAGTGCACATGTCCTTCAGAGACATGACTGTTATAATTTAGCATGGCAACCTAAGCTGCTGTTTTTACCTGTACACGTCCCCTAAAAATTAAGATATCCTTGCAATACCATAAAGGTCTTGTACAAATAAACTTGCTTTATATAAACTACTTAAATTTCTGTCAATATTCACCTTGATATCATTTTGGTGTTCCATTGCTCCCATTTCTTCATATATATCCACAAGTAAGTACACTAATAGTAATCAACTTCTTAATTATCCCACAATTTGAGACAAGGTAATTACAATAATCCCATCATACACCAAGTCGTCGGTACATGCTGCCTGCTCCACTGAAGCTCTTCTGTCCTGTGTAGGAGCATGATATCAAATTGTAAAACTCGTGTAGACCACCAGCCCTCGATCCTCACTGTTATTCACATTGAAGTAGTAAAGCACTTCAAACTCTAGAATAGCCAGCTTTTCTTTGACGTTTCCTCTTACGTCTTTACAAATTATTCACTTCCTCTGAATCAGGCTTATTAAATACACTCGCTGGCCCGCAATGTTTATACCCATTGTTCGACCTTTGTATTTTATTATTACAGCAGGTGATTAGATGTCGTTGTGAGGTGAATCGTTAAGAGAAATCTCCCGTTAACCACAAGGTAATGTATACTGGTAATACTGACGAGTCGGAGACGGGCGAGGTCTATAGGTGTACTACAGGTATACACTGTATTCACCTACGCTGCTCATATACCTGTATATACAATGTATAATAGGGAAGGAATTGATATCCATCTATACTACATATACAAAGGTACATGGTAAATGTCATTAGATGTCGCAAGTCTTAATCATGATTTAATTAATAAATGGCGTTGCAGTCGAGGAGTACTATTTATTTATTGGATTATGTACATGTATACATGGATAAGATGTGGAAGCCTGGCTAGACTTCTCAGGATTTCACAGCGGACAAGAAATTAAACTTCAATTAATATGCCCTGAGCCTTTTGTGTTTGATGTCAGCTGTCCATCTTGTACATCCGAACGTCACAAAAGACATGAATAAATGTCCTTGTAAGTAGCGAGTGTTATCTGAGGTAAATACATTAGACATGGGAGTCCGTGAATCAATTACTACTTTGGCCCGTTAGAACCATCAGTAGGTCTAGGTATACAGACGAGCTGGTAGAAGCCCACAGCCAGGTAGCAGAGTAGATAAAGGTGTAGGAACTCTCATAGCCCTGGTTATTAATCAATTAATATTGGACTGTATAGTGGTGCTGTTTTTATCTCAATACACTACTGTGTAAACATAAATCAATGTCCGGTTCCTGACTATCCCGGTAAGTGCCTCCAGGTTTTGGTGGCCAATTTTTTAAGCAAGGAACAATTTCGTGGTAATTTTAAAACATCATCATAACATTACAAACTGGCTATTTATAGATAATTCTGACTTCTAATATATATACTAGAAAATACCACAGAGTATCAAGTTACAGAGCAAAGTGACGGAAATCCCCTTGTCATTTATTTTTTCATTGCTAACTAAATAGTATTTTATGACTAAAATTAAATAATTTGTCAACTAAATGTATTACATAATTTCGGTGAAAACGAAATTATCACTATCTTAACGCTATGTCACAATTATGAAACATTTACTGAGTTTGAATATTTTCCTTGTAATACAAGGAGTAAACATTGTACCTGGTATTCAATCTATAGCTCACATGATCCAATATTTAACGTTATATAAGACATTTTGGAAAACGTGCCCTACCAAAAACTTGTACTAAAAATATTACTTCATAATTACAGCTAAAATTCCACCTTTTCACTTTTAATAGAAGTTGCCAGAGGATCACTAGAGAAGGATTGTTAAATTTGGGTAAATTGTTCTTGAGCCCATTAAACCTCAGACCTACCCAATACATGTCTGCAATTTGAGATCCTTTTAGATAACTTGATAACCATCCCAATTCTGTCCTGATGTAGACATATTTGAATGACAAATACTTATTGAGAAACCACAATTTTAGGTTATTGCTATTTAAAATCTCAAGTGCATGCATATTAGTTTTTTTCCTGTTAATATGACTTAATTGACTGATCATCGTCCTTAAGTACAAGATTCAGTATATCATTGGCTATGAGTCCCCGCCTTCCTCATACATGTACTTCAACATAGCAGCTAGCTAGTGTTACCACTATTTTTAACAGTCTATTTAAAATATTTCCTGGTAATAATTTTATATGTGTATAATTTGATAACATTTATGCAAATATCTTTTTTATGTAACATCAGAATAAAGATTTTATTCAATATGACACCAGCTCACCAAGTTTCTAGTTAAAAGTGTGTGTATCACAGTCATATCAGTAGAAATCTTGAACCGTATACATTTACAACTAGATTTTAACAAGGACTTAATTTTTATAAAAATTTGCACTATCATATCTTAAATTAGTGAAATGACTACACAAATCTTTTTAACAAAGCAAGGTATTTGTCAATGTGATCAGTTATCATCTGTCTATTCATCTGTGTTTACGTCTGGGCAAGGTCAGAGAAGGTCGGACTGAACAGTAGCTAGCTATAGATCAAGTATCTACGATCCCTAAAACGGGGGCGGAACGTACCTGACAATAACATACCTGGCCGAGTTATCATTAATTAGCTTGTCCTGGTAAATAAGGCATGATTGTGTCACTGTCTCCTTCTCTCACCTCACTCCAACATTTTTTTATAAATATTTTCTTTGATTTTGAGATAATGTTTCCCCCCTGACTGAAACGACTATGGACACATTATGTATTAATTACACCTGGCACGACGCTACAGTGGAGTGTAAACAATACAGCAGGTTAACGATAATTAAAACTGTAATTTTCCAACATTTCCTTCCAGTCAGATTGTTTAGATCATGCATGTACACCAAAGAACAGCCTTAAAACTTCATGGGTTAGAAGGATCATCAGCAAAGGCTATAGTTGCAGAGGCGAAAAATATCCTACGTCAGAATTTGAGCCACAAAACCAGACAATTGTCAACCATTACTGACACACCTTCAGTTTGTCACAACTGTCTTGATAGTTAATCAAGCTAAGTGATCATGGACATTAGACAAATTAAACCAAAACATTTTCTTTAAATTATTTACGCTATTGAAGTTGACAGGGATGTAACGGCACAGAACAAATCCAAACATTTGCACCGCTTCTCATGAGTAGTACCGTATTTATCCTGCAAGAAGCCCAGGGGGATGGGCATATAATTCCTGACTCAAAGTAGGGGGTGAGTGGGCTTATCACATGACAATGACATAACATTAGTTGGCATTTTATTTAACTGCGTTAGATACAGTTGGGCTTATTACCAGGCATGGGCTTATTGCTGAATTAACATAGTACTGTGTAAACCATGTAGATGCTTCATACTTTATAAAATACACAGAATTCACAGAAAGAAATGAATGTTATGCTAATTTGATAACTCAAGATTCAAAATTATATCATATATATATTCCAAAGATCTACATGATCCTGTCATTTCACGTTACACTTCATGTCCTTGAAATTAATGACCATGTTTTACGTTCTTTTAACAGCTAAGGTAATTTAAGGACGGGCCAGGTTTTGGTGATGGAGGAAAGCCGGAGTTCCCAGAGAAAAAACCCACCTACGTCCAGTATTTAGCGACTGCCCCACGTAGGCCTCGAACCAGCGACCCAGTGATGGAGGGCTAGTGGTAGCAGAATGTCAGATGCCTAAACCACTTGGCCACCGCAGCCCTTCAAGATCTTTAAACCTTGTAAATACAAACTGTGATTAAAATGTTCTTTTCCAAGCATTAGTGCACTCAAAGTATCTGTAAATGAAATCCAGGAAAGTCTGTATAACACTGTACAGAAACTCTGTATAACACTGTACAGAAACTCTGTATAACACAGTACAGAAACTCTGTATAACACTCTACAGAAACTCTGTATAACACTCTACAGACTTCTTCATGACTGAATAACAGCGAAAGTGCTGTAAGTGGTTTCAACCTGTCCTAGGAAGGTTTTGATTTTGACAGTCTGGACTACCGACAGGTCGCTGTTGCCATTCACTTAATTAAACATACAGCTATGTATGTATATGTGCTATATATATTAAATTATGACCAGTTCAAAATAACATTGTGGTAGTTTTCTTGGTAATCTTGTCAGAACATTGAAGAAAAATATCTGACTGACTGTACTTTAACAATACAGCTAAACTGAATTCCAAAAAAATATAATTATACATTAGCATTGGTGAACACATATATGTATAATTTTAACTGAAGGTGGCAAAACCAACTTACATTAAAATCTGTTGCAATGGAGCTTGGAGTCAGCGGTGGGTCACATGACCCCTGTGACCCTGGAGTCAGGGGAAGGTCAGCACTTCCGATTGAGTCAGAGTCGACATGCACAGAGTCAACAGTGAGTTTACTGGGACGCTTTATAACTTTCTTGTCATTTGAATCGTCGGTCTGCACAGAGGAGGAAATAGCCACAAGATCTTTATCCACTGGGTCTTCAGTAACAATGACATTCGTTTTGACTCTTTCTTCGTCCTTGGTTTCTGATAAAGCGTCGTCTGATGTTTCTTCTGGAAGATTTCCTTCAGGACTCCTAATATCATTCACCGGTTTAGATGTAACTTCCTCTGTGGTTGGTGAACTGTTTGCTGTAGCCTCCTCAGTGATTGGTGGAAGGTTTGATCCAACATCTGTGATTGGTGGAAAGTTAGCTGTAACCTCCTCTGTGATTGGTGGAAAGTTAGCTGTAACCTCCTCTGTGATTGGTGGAAAGTTAGCTGTAACCTCCTCTGTGATTGGTGGAAAGTTAGCTGTAACCTCCTCTGTGATTGGTGGAAAGTTAGCTGTAACCTCCTCTGTGATTGGTGGAAAGTTAGCTGTAACCTCCTCTGTGATTGGTGGAAAGTTAGCTGTAACCTCCTCTGTGATTGGTGGAAAGTTAGCTGTAACCTCCTCTGTGATTGGTGGAAAGTTAGCTGTAACCTCCTCTGTGATTGGTGGAAAGTTAGCTGTAACCTCCTCTGTGATTCGTGGAAGGTTTGATGTAACCTCCTCTGTGGCTGGTTGTAAATTTGATGTATTGTTCTCCATGACTGATGGAATGTTCGATGTAACTTCTTCTGTGACTGGTGGAATGTTTGATGTTACCTCCTCCGTGATTGGTGGAAGGACTGCCGTAACATCCTCTGTGATTGACTTAGTTTCACATGATGAGTCGGAATCTTCTTTAATATCTGTTTTTATGACACGAGATTTATCATCCTCTCCTTTTATTATTTCAGAAGACTCTTTTGAGTTGAGTGACTCTTCAACAACTTTATCAGACTCTGAATGTGAACTAGACACACCATTTAGTTCTGAGCCTTCAGAGTCCTCTTCAGAATGAGGCTTATAACACTCACCTTCTTTATTAGAACATGTTGAGTCCACCTCACCTACTTGGTCCGAGACTGGTTTTAACTCCTCTTTGTCCAGTGGGGAGGAGGTAATGGGGAGGGAATCCTCTAAAGGAGGAAAAACACTGTCCTCCATTAGCGGAGAAACACAGTCCTCGGTGAGAGGGGAGGATGGAATTGTCAGATCCTCCGAAGTTCCTCGACTGGTGTCTGTCAGAGATTTGTCAGACTTATCTGGATTAGGAGAGGTTGTCTCGTCAGACCTACAGTTGAAGTCTGTGATCTCCATGGCAATGGGAGAGGGTAGGTCTTCAATGATGAGGAGTTCAGTCTCCTTCTCCAGGCTGATACCATTTTCCCTCAGATCTTCCTTATCATTCTCGAAAAGGATCCGCATCTTGTCTTCCTGAAATGGAAATATAGTTTATTTTACACAACTGTAAAGCTCCAGTTAAATGTAGGACATGTATGTATGCAACATATTCTCTGGACTATTTTTTTCTGTTTCAGTTAAAAAGCTAGAAGTCTATCTGAATAAGATTTGAAATTCTTATAAAGATATAATCATATCTCATCAAAATACAAATAGATTGTCACAACATAATTTGAGACATTTGAATTGATTTAGTTTTTGTTACAGCCTACTGTAGCTTTTCTTGTGGAACAGCTTTCTGGCGATTGCCAAATACTTCATGTTAATCAACTGTAAAGACATCCAAAGAAAACAAACACAAACCTAATAACTTAAATAAAATCCTCTGTTTCACACTTAAAGATATGTATCATGGCAAACATTAAAATGAGGTTGTGTATGGTCTTACAAGATTCAATTTTCTTAGAGTGAACAAATGAGAGTATAGAAATTGGTTTGATCAGCTGTTTTTACATTGAATGCACCACTGACAAAGTCTGGGGGTTCTATTTCTGACAGAGTACAGTGAAGCAGAGATAGCCCAGACATACAAACAGGAAACAGGTTATATAGGGCTATACTGAAGCCTCCTCCCCCACACATACAAACAGGAAACAGGTTATATAGGGCTATACTGAAGCCTACTCCCCCAGACATACAAACAGGAAACAGGTTATATAGGGCTATACTGAAGCCTACTCCCTCAGACATACAAACAGGAAACAGGTTATATAGGGCTATACTGAAGCCTACTCCCCCAGATACAGAGGACATCTTATCAGTATTTATAGTGATGGTGTTTATGGTATTCTGACAGTATGTCAGGGTCAGATTAGAGGTGGTCAGATTAGAGGAGGTCAGATTAGAGGTGGTCAGATTAGAGAGATCAACACCTCATCCTCTAGAGTTATGGTATATTACAGCAAATTCATTATCAACATACACACATTCACTCAGAATTGCTGTAGAGTGAATTATGATACAGTACATACATAATTCTACACAATTTTGGCATCCTGGATCCCCACTTTAATTTATCTCAACTGTTGGAACCACATTTCCTGTAAAACCAACCTTGGAGCGTAGTGTTACTCTTTGTTGGTACAGTGAAATCGTTTTTAACTGCACACCACAGGGAACAATATCTTTATTCAGACAATACAGGTTTTCGGTATACACAGGTTAACATACAGTATATATGTTTATAACAAACTCAGGGGACATTACTCTACATTAAAAATGTTAATATTGAAATCAGGGGCCATAACTATACAGTTAAAATGTTTATAACAATATCAAGGGGACATACCTCTACAGTGAAATGAGTTTATAACTAAACCCTTGCTTGGATATGACTCTACATTACAATATGTTTATAATGAAATCAAGGAGACAGAACTCTACAGTGAAATGAGTTTCCAACTATTTAGAGTGGGGCACTAATTACAGTAAATGTTTTAATATTTTAAGCATGTTTTGTTGTACATAGAAATGGATCCATATAGTGGCACCTACTTTCATGTTATAGGCTTCAGTAGAGACAGATTACACCAAAGGAAGGACAAGGTGGCACTGTCTACATGCAGCCTTGTCTGCATTTAACAATGAACCATTTTGACAAGGCTGTGCTGGAGCTACAGAAGCTGACTGTGTATCCTGTTCTTACACATCAACCACAGTATGTAGGGGTGGAGGTCCCTGTAGATAACTGTGGACATGCTATCTGGGGTTCGGTACAGACACCCTGTATGTATTTCCTGTTCTTATCCTGTCAAACGTCCAAATTTACCACACAATCTTCCTTAACATGTCGGTATGTTTACCACACAATCTCCTTGTTTTCCACTCTGTCGACATTTGTTATTGGATGTCCTACTCCACGAAGGAGAAGAGCTACCCCACAAAGTTCCAAACATAAACAAGTACTTCATCAAGTACCTTTTATGGGTTCTATCTCATTTATATGTTAACACAACCTGTAACTTACCCATATGTACCTGATGAATTTAATCTGTACTTTCTGTGACCTTGTCTATACTAATCATGCCAAAAACTAGGAAGCATTCCATTTGATAAACCTACAATATTGATAGACGTACCTTTGATAATCGTACTCGCAAGGTTAGATCTTTCATCTTCTAAACTCAAGGGCCTAATTAGATAGTTTTACATCAGCAGCCAATGAAGCTAGGTTAGATCCAGACACTCCACGCTATATAGCTCTATACTCTAGTCCCACAGACAGTAGTAGTCAACCCAGACATAAAATGGCCACTGGTCATTTTAGAGGTAGTCTAGGGTGTTATATCAGGGTGTGATGTCATCAAGATAGATTTGTCCGACTGTCAGGTAGACAGATGACCTAACAGTTACAGGTAGATTTAATGATGTAATAGGTAATTGAACAGTGCTTACTAGTGAAATACTCTCACAGAAAAACCAATTAAGCATTTCAAATTTCGACCCTCTCTAGTGAGCCAGGTATAACAGTTTAGGGTTCTTATCTTCAATGATTGATTCTCCAACCTTTCCAATGTCTTAAGATTATGTTTGAGAGAATTATGCATGTATACCTCATTTACACAGCGGTTTGTTGTAGAAAAATGCAGTATTCAAGTCAAAGACACATTTTAGCTTTCTGTCATAAAATTATACAAATACATTTTTAAAAGAAAGTTCTATAAAGGTTGTTCAATATTGAAAAAATCTTCTCCCCTGCATTCCAATAGAATGATAGCATTCATGGCTATCTGCATACTAAATCATTTTTTTTACTCTTTGTTTTTGCTGCAATGATATTTTGTATTTAAATGGATGATGACACAGCTTGCATGTTAATATAATTCAATGCTAACCTGTGCATTTTGAAAAAATATGCAGTAAGTTCTGTATTATAAGTATGCTGCTTAAACTTTGGCCATGCACAGGTATATATGCATGCTTACCTTTGGAGCATTAACTATACAGGGCTCCTAGCTGTTGCCTACTACCCACCCTGGTCAATGACATATTGTGGGAGTTCAACCAACCCTATAATCATCCAGGGTAGACTGGGTGTTATGATATGATCTGATCCATATCAGGGTTAAGCCAGTTAAATGGTCACAAATCACCACCCTTAGGGGATAATGATTATCATCAATGTTGTAAGGAACCCTCCATGAAATCATTACATAAGGGGCCCTAGGTCAGAGGTGACATCCAGGTCAGGATTTTGTGGAGGAATTAGTTACTCTGAGGGAGCCACAAAGTCTCCTTCACACTGGAAAGTTTGTGTAACAGATTCCTGTATAATTTACCTATGAATTGATGGATATATATATATATATATATCATTCTTTAATGGTATAAAAAGACATCTGCAAAGTATTTCACATGAAATACTAGTTACATGAAGATTAATTACATGTAAATGTGATTCACATAATTTTCCATAAAACTGTTATACACAGCTATATGTCTAGGTTTATGTACTAAATATAGCTGTCATAAATATAACATTTAAACTTGTATGTTAAACATATACAGCAACGAATGTGTTACATGCACACGAAACCATGATCTAATGAATATATACATTCAGACTGCAAGTTTATATTGCAGATCAGAATATGTATTCTTAATGCAGTATAATCACTGCATAGTATATTATAAATAATCACTTAGGATGTATATTTTTACTTATAAGCAAGACACATCTATATAAGCTTTTCTAAGGGATGGGTTATTGTAATTTTAAGTATCCAACCAGTAGTTTTTTTGACATTATGAACAGGAAATGTGTAGTAGTATTTTTGTCCCACAAGAAGTACCATATTCTTAAAATTATGACATTATGAAAGAATGGTATTTAAAAAAAAAAAAACGTTGACAAAATTGAATTGCTTTAAGGTTTAAGATTCTATCGAAGTTAAAGTCAATTCATGATTTACGTAACGCAAATGCCAAAATATGGTGAACACTAAAGTCATTGTCTGACTTTTGCCAAGCTTTCAGGACCAAGATCGTGCCTTTTTGCTCTCTAGAGGAAATTGAAATCCTCATTCAAGTGGCAGCTAGTGGTTAAGATTGTACATCCCAGCCAATTAAATTTTACTGTATTAACTAATCCATGTATGTGTATATAACAGCTATATCTGTGTTCCCAAATATGCTTTAATTAATGGAGGAAGAATGTTACATAGTAAAACACTTTAGAGACCAAGACACTCTCAGATGTAATTGGAATTGCGCTGTTGCCAAGCTATACATATGTACTTCGTATTTTCCTAGACGAGAAAAGATCAATACAGTACCTGTTTTTCACTGACATTTGTATAAACACAGACATAATTAAAACAGTCTATTGTAATTAAGAAATTGGTTTAAATAATAAATTGTTTTTGTTTAAAGTACACAAAAGATAATATTAATGTCACGGAGTATTCCAGAACCAAATAAAAATGTTTCTTTCAAACCCGATTGAACATAAAAACATGATGACAAATATTTTCTTTTATAATTAAAGCAATATTAATAGTGACCTTGATCTTTGTACAAAGACATTGAAATGTGAAACGTTCAACTCTTTTGAGATATTGTAAAATGAAGAATATAGAGTGAAACTTCATCCACATCTATTAAATGAATAATGGGGGTAGCAAAATGAAGGCAATTAATTAAATTTATTTACATAACAAAGGTAAGAATGAGTCAGGCTCACTGTGTGTCCTCTTATTTCACAATGTGCATGCCAAACCTTTTAATTTAAATTTCAAACATAAAATGATGACTTGAGATGCATCTAGGTTCTGTGACATCAATCTGCTGGCTCGTGTTCACCATAAACAACACCTTCGGTGCGACAGAGGGGTCTTTACTCTGTAGTACACATTTCCAGGTGGGTATGAATTATTCAGGTAAACTTTATCAAATGACAGGCAAATATTGATCTTGAAGACTTGGTTCATCTGTAACATAAACACTACCTTCCTCCTTAAGTTTACAGTGCCCAC